ACAAAGATGGTGGTGGAGAGGAAACCTGGTTTTGGATGTGAAACTTGCATCAGCTAATTGCAGATCCATCACAAACAGAAACGCAGCCTAGGTTTTCTTCTTGGCTGATTCTCCTAAGCTCAGCGTCAGGTCAGTAATGAGCAGAGGGGCATCATTTCTTTGGTCCCCAATAATGGCAGACTCAGTCCCCCTTATACCTGCTCAACCAAGAGCACAACTGACAAGCCCCTGGGAAGGGAAACTGACCAACCCAGGGATTATCCGGTAACAGAGATCGCCTCAAGTAGTGAGAAGTCAGCTGGGATGAAATGAAAGCATAAACCTCTGCTGGGGAATGTGACAAAAGTCAAGATGCTCCTGGGACAGATCTCCTAAAGATGCCTAGGACTTATTTGTTGGTGTGAAGCTTTCCCAAGTGTAGCAATAAGAATCCAGGTGACCCGGTGAAAAAAGAAAACATGAAATGGTGAGAAAAAAACTACTGCAGAACTCTGAGGAATGTTTCTACCCTTCCTAAAAGCAGCCTCCAATGTCCAATCCCCCAAGCCTCAGAGCTTTCACTGTGGAGAAGTTTCCCAGAGCCCCTCTCGTTTACCTTACCTGGTTTCTGCTAGAACTCCCTGTCACTTGCAATCTGCTGATTAGGGTTAATGTATTATGCCCCGATATGGCAGATTGAAAACGAAATCAATAAATGCCTAAAACAAATGGGGCTTTGGAGATGTCCCATCCAATCTGGGTCTTTAAGGGTGAGGTGAGAGGCAGGAGGAGAAAATCAGGAAGGGAGTGGGGAAAGAACCACTTCAGCCATTAATTTCAGTCTAAAACACTGTGTGCACAAAGCGATTTCTAGGTACCTTGTTCTTCCTATTCCAGGGACCTGCCCTAAATAACAGTAATAGCTAGAAGAGTTTGTGTTCCTGAGACTCTTTGGGCTTTACTGTGTGTGAGAGTGTTTATACTTGCCATTTATCTTTGGGTAAGCAAAGGGATCTACAGCATGAGATATTTAAATGTTCAAGATAGGAACTCATCTTTCTGAAGTATGTTTAAACAAAGTGAGAGAATGGGAATATTGTGAAACAGCCTCAGTTCCTATTCTCTGGAGTCTTTTGCCACTTGCCAATAAATTAAAGATAAACTTCATCTTGAGCAGCAAGACCCCTATTGTGATGTCTAGAAGCTCATCTATTAATCTAGAGTCTTCGCTATCATGAGGTGAGAAAGGAGATCCCCTAGGTCATTTCTACTCCACTGCAGTATTCGGTACTGTCCCTGCTGAATATGTTTCCCATGTAAATAACCTGTGCTATTAAGGTGCAAATTACAACTTTTAAGTAATGATTGCTAATAGTCTAATGTTTACTGCCACACGAGGACATTCATGCAAACAAAATCTGCATTATTCATCTCCATATTAAATAAACAAAATGAACTGAGGGAGCTGCTCTCTCCTGCAAGACTCTCCACAGATCTGGATCATCGGAAAGCTTCTGAAAGTCAGCAAGAAGGAAACATCTAATTGCTTTGGAGGAGCAGAGGCCGAATCGCATAACTTACACACGTATTAGATATTCACGCGTCCATGATCAAAAAAGATTTTATGTTCTATAGTAACTGGCTGGCATTAACATAAAAACAATAGTTCAGGATGGTGAAATGAAAGATATATGACCATGCATGTGGACAGTGTCTGAGGTACAGACTGTTGGGAAGAGAAGAATTAGAGAATGTCTACAGTTTTAAAAATTTAAGCACTCTGCATCCCGCAGCATACGAACAAATCAACGCACTGTTCTGTTTTACTTTACCTTCCTGCCATCTTCCCTAAAATGAATGCGGGGGGGGGGTGCTGGTATAGAATCCTGCAATATTTTCAGGTGAGAGTGGAGGCGTTTTAATGGCGAGAGAAATATATGTTAAGGAAGCAAGCCAAGCACGCACTCACTCACACAAACCCCTGGGGTACTGTAGGCTGCTTTCTAAACTTTTTTTTCTTGCTTTAAGTACTAGTAATGGTGGAATAGCATACCTTCAGAAAGGTAGGGAGAATAATATTTTGGAGGGAAATGTTCTGACTCCGCTGTTCCCTCTCATCCCTTCCCCCTGCAGGGGGAGGAATATAACAAATAAAGACGAAAATTCCCCATCACGTATAATATCATTCTGTTGGTTCTACTGGGAAATGCACTTTATTAGAAAGTTTTATAATTGATTCCTTAAAACACAGAACTTAAAATGAAAAATGCAAAGGAATATAATAGCCTCTGAACAGTTCTTGGGAGAAAGAGCTGCAGAAGGGCCGCTGATTCACTTTCAGGCCTTTTCTATCTTCCATTATTCATTAATCAAGCTAGAAATCAAGCTTTCAACATCAGTCCATGGGAGTAATTACTTACAGTTGTGCCTTGTATTTAATTTTAAACAGTGATAAAAGTTAGGACGGCCACAATCTCAGAATCCCCTCGTCCCTTTCCTGGATGCTAACTGGCCAGAGTCCCAAAGTGGATAACTTTGCTTGTGAGTAACCATCTCTGCTAAAACAGAGCAGGGCACTGATGACCTCAGATGAAGGGAAAAAATACTGCAGGGAAGACTGTCTGCTTTATTAATATGAGAGCAAATAAATACCGCTACAGGGGCTTTACTGTATGTAAAATGAATTGGTCCATTTCAGCTTGGAAGAGATTTCCACTTCTTCCAGTAAAAATAAATCATGAAAACAAACAGATACTAAGAATACAATAGGTCAGAAAACTGAAACTACAGTCACAAGTTTCTAACACACACACACACACACACACACACACACACTACAATAAACAGATTGGCCAACACCAATAGATACAGGCTTAATGAAAGGATCTAATTTAAATAATGTGATACAGTGTTATGTTATGCACACCTGGATCCTCATTGGTCAGAGGATAATTATAATCTAAGTAGTGCGATTCTGAGCAAAGCACTTTTTGTAATGAGCTCACGAAAGGAGACATGTCCAGTCATTCTGGTAATTTAAATCACTGCCTAGTTGTTGATGGCTTTTACCAGAACAACAAGGGGAAAAAAAAAGTAATTTTCAGGGCAGTATCACTTCTTGCTGGACGGTAGCCCAGGGCTCTCTTTCAGGACAACAATAAGGAAGGTATCTCAAATAATCTAGTTCCACTTAAACTTCTGTTGCCAGAGCTAGATGGAGCAGGCTTACTCTTCCTGAGTCTGGAAGGCCTTCGCACACTCTTGACACTGTCAGATTGCAAAGTAGTCTAAGTTTCAAAAAGGGGGGGCTACTGTTTTCAAAAGCCAGAGTTAAAAAAAAAGATAAAAGAAATACTGCCACGGCAAGTTACAAATATATAGGTAGTAGAACTATTTTAAATATTGTGCTCTTAGGGAAACAATTTTAAAAATATATGAGTCAAAGCTCTGTAAATGATATTTCCACATGCAACTCTAACCAACCTATGAATGGTTACGGAAGCAATTTTGTACTCAGAAACAAAGATGACTTAGATATTTCAAAGCACATGCATTGCCATTCAGGCTGGGATCAGGTAAGCCTGGAGATGAGCCTGGCGGTCTGGCATGTTGAGATACAAATACTCATTTTCTCTAGATTCATAACTAACTTTGAATTTCTCCTAAGGGTGACAACTTTCCAAAGTTGTGCAAAGTGTGCCACCAGGCTTCTCCCTGTGTTTTCCAGTTGGAGCAAAATAAAATGCGGCAGTGAGACTGAGGAGCCCAGCCTTACTCAGGTTACCTAAAGCGAGAGGGCAAAGCCAGAGAGAGAGGGAGGAAAACAGAAGAGCAGCAACAGAACTTCAACTTTTTTTGCTAAAGCCCTGATTCAACCAAAGGACACAAAGAAATAAAAACGCCCACATGAAAAGCCAAACAAGATAATAATTGTGCATGTCTGGCTCTGAATACAGAGGGCAAGGCTTGCGTCACTGGCACTCTGAGTTACCATGGTGAGTGATTTATTGATATATATCAAGAATGAATAGATCAAAGCCAGTGAGATGACAGGTGATCAATCAAATGTCAAATCAAAACTAGCAATCAAGTGGAAAGCTGATTATTCAGTGGGTGGGTCTGGCAGGAGAAAGATGAACTTTCATATTACACTTCCGAGAAACAAAACCTCAGCATACTATTAAAAAAGCAATTAAGCAACCCAAAAGGGGGAAAAAAAATCTCTTGGAAGGTCTATTGTACCGATCCATTGACCTGTTCCTGTTTTGGTGGGGGTCTGGTGGTACGGATTCAGATGGGATAGCTCCTATCACACAAATCAATTTGCTCATAAAGTTTGCAACTCTCTCCCGGCAAAGGAAATCCAGAAGTGTTTAAATTTCTAAGGGGGCATTCCTCCTCTTCCACCTTTTTTTTTTTTTTTTAAAGAGAAGAGAGAGGGTTGAACCGATTCCCGAACGTGGATCCTTTTAGAGAACATTCAAAGGATCATCCCCTTCCTGGGGCGCTTTCTCTACCTTGGCAATCAAAGCTAAACTCCCATTGCTAGCCCCACGGCCAGCCTGCAGCCTGGGGCGAGGGCAAGCCTCCCACTTCAGCGCCCCAAGCCCGGCCAGAGGAGACGCTGTCCCCAGAGGCCAGAAGCCGCTGGCACTGACCACGCGGAGGGCCAGGGGGACGGAGGGGCAGGCTTCTCACTCCGCACCCCAAACCCTCAATCGGACTCTGGCTCCGGAGGCAAGAACAGATCCGGGGAAAAGTTAGGGGCGCGGTGGAGGGTGGAGGAAACAAAGTTGAAGGAGGGAAGGCTCGGTGGGGTAGCCCCCCCCGCAGCCGGAGCCGGGAAAGGGGAGGATTTGGAGAGCTGCGAAGGCGAGGGGGGACGGAGTTGCCGGGGACCCGCGCGAACTCCCCTAAAGCTGAGGGGGTGGCGTCCCAGGCACCCGGGCGGCGGGCTCGGCACGGGGCGCGGGGCGCGGGGCGCGGGGCGCGGGCGGCAGCCCGAGGAGCCGGTCTCTTACCTGCTGCCCGCTTGGGTGCCTGCTGTTTCCGCCTGGGCATCGCTCTACTTTCCTCCAGTCCCACTTCTGGCGCCCCAGCCCCGAGCCGCGCGCGGGGCCCGCTGTCTCTCGCCTCGCCGGGTGTCCTCCGTCTCTCGCCCGGCGGCTCCCAGGACGTCACTCGGCCTCTGCCCCCCGACGATCCCCCCCGCAACTCCGCCGCCGCGGGCCGGAGACCCCTCTCGGGGCGCAGACGCGGGGCCGGAGCCTGCGGCGGCGAGTGGAGGTGGTCTCTGCCTTGTTTGTTTGTTTGGGGTTTTGTTTTTTCCTCCCTCTGTTTTTGTTTTTGCTTTTGGATGTATATATTTTTTGTTTTTGCTTTTTTTTTTGTGGTGACTGGTGAGACACTTGATTTCTTTATTAAACATCCAAGACCTGGTTCAGATGGGAGGACGAGGGGCGCACACGCGCCGCACGCACACGCGCGCGTAAAGATAAGGAAGAAAAAAGCAATCCTGGGAAGCGAGCGGGTTTCTTCTTTCTCTCCTTCCTCCTCCTTCTGCTCTTTCCCTCCTGCTCCTGCACTTCCTCCTCCTCCTCCTCCTCCTCTGCTCTTCCTCCTCCTCCTCCTCCTCCT